TATATATATATATATACTGTTATATATATACACTGTTAAAACATATATATGCATGTGTTTATGAATATTTTCGAAGCCTTTGAAATAAAAAAGGCAAGTCTGGATGCCACAGAACATTTGATGTGTCAATTAATATTCTGAAAGTATTTTCAAAATGTTCTGATGTGACCTTTGGATGATGCCATGATGCAAGGAGAACTGTTGCTGGAATATCAAGTAAGTAGGTAAAAATTGGCCAGTTGCAAACTATTTTTGTTAGAAAAGAGTAAAAATTCGACGTATTTTGTCACATTATATATGTTAGACTTTTGGTAGCCACACACACACAAAAGCCATCGTTTGAAAAAGTGTCAAAATATTTCTGAAAACTTGCAAAACGAGGAGTTTTCTGACATTTTTTGTGGCAGCCAGTGTGGCCCGAAAAAATAAAAAAACATTGTCTTTCATAAAATATGTATATCATAAAATAGTATCAAAGAATACACGGCAGTTTCATATCGATGATATAATATAGCATATTTATATTGAACCAAACCATCTATAGATAGTATTATTGCATTCTCATTGAAACGTCGAAAACATTAGAACGCTGTCGCATATGTCAACAAGCGCGCACTTGCCTCGGGTGACGGCATGCACGAGCGCAACTTCGGCGGCTTGCAAGCCGTCGATATCCGGTGCACAACAAGCTAGCGGTAGCACTTGCATGGTGGATTTGGTTCGTTTTAGCATGGTCGGAGATACCGAGGCGGTGGCAACGGTCGGTTCAAAGTCCAGAACAGACACAAACGTGAGCAGCACCCGGTGCAGGACAGCGGGTGACACGCGGCTCTGGTACGACGCCAGGAGCAGCAGCAACTCCACGCCCCGGGTCAAGTATTGCGTCAAGACCGTTTTGGTCGTCCGCCCCGACACTGCGTCCGCCGTCTGCTCCTGCACACAAACACAACATGAGTATATATAGTACCGTTGTCCTGCGCCTAGGTACCTCGTCCATCATGTCGGCTATCAGCACGTGCGAGTCCGTGTGCGCCCGAAGCCGGGGCCGACGGGGGGGAAGGGGGGAAAGCGGGGGGGCCGCCGCCGCCCGGCCAAACGCGCGGCAGTCGACGCACGACACGAGCTTGACCGTCATGTCGTTCATATCCACGTCGTGCAGTACGTACCGGTTCTCGACCATCCGCACCAACACATCGACCGCCACGTCAAAGTTGGCGGCGTGGGTTTCCGTGCTCGCCATCGTGAGCGCCGCTACGACGAGCTTGGGAATGGGCAGAATTCCCACCGACGGCTTGGTCGTTGGCCCCCGACATGCCATCAGAAACGGCGACGTCCGCGTCGAACGTCCATCCTCGTGGGTAGTTTCATCTGTCAGGAGCATCTACGCATATGCGTGTTTCACAATGGCATGGGTTCTTGTGGGAATTAAAAGGTTTTTCGGTTTTCAATGCTTTACATGGAACGAAGCATTCGCGGTACACACTTGGCGCAAGCATGTGATGGCTACGCCCCGCACATACGAGTCGCGGTGGGTCACAGCATATCCTACACAAAAGGTATCGAGCTTGTACGACGACAGACAGTATATATAGAACCGATCGAAATCTGAATGTGATATTGGGAGAATACTATCAACTATTATTATTCATACGACCTTGAAATATATATATATATATATATATATATATATCGGGTGAATTTGCAAAAAATATCGAATATCGATTCGATTCGAAAGTAAAAGCGAAGCCTGTATGAAAAAAATATCAATTTGATTCGGAAAAGTAGAATATGAAGTGTTCGAATTGACCAATCAAACAACAATCGTATGCCAGCATTCGACAATGTGCACTCTAAATATATGTCGAGCACAAGGTAGGTGTATGTACCTCATAAGAGTTTCAAAAATATATTGAAATATATCTAGTTGATTCGAAATATCACAAAACTAGGATGGACGACTCAAACAACAATCGTATGCGACAATGCGTACTCTCTCTGTATACCTGTAAGCAGCTCAAAGATGCGCACGCAACGCGTCGACGGAATGTGCGGAAAACACGCGTGGAACAGTGTCACAAGTCCGTGGGTGGCCTTGTGCTTGGCATCGGCAAACTTGGCCGATGTCGCCGCCATATGAAGCAGGTCCACGAGCGGATAAAACTTGACTGAATCTACTTCACGCGCCACTCGCACAATCAGGTCCAGTCCAGCCTCCCGCACCTACAACAATATACAATATATTTATTGTTGTTTTCACACATACATATATATATAGTTTTGTTAATATATATTGTTGTGTTTATATGTTTATAGTTGTGTTAGTTCCAAGTAGGAGCAACACATGGAGAAAATGACCAAAAATACACAAGGATCGGTACAAGGATTTTTGCCATTTTAGAAATTGCAGGAAACAATCATCGATTTTTCGTGTGGGAATGAAATTAACAGTGAAATGTACAATCACCACCCCGGACCTTTTGTTATATACATACAAACTTGAGTCGACATTTTGGGTACAAGGACGAGACGATATATATACAGTATCTATCCCGTTTTCAACCTCACGCATTCAAACTAGTATTCGAAATGCAGACGACCACATGCAACACACATGCCTGAGGGTCGTCGTCGTCGTGAACTAGCTGCAGACACGGCACAAATAGGTCGTCTAGCACCCGGTCTTCGCAAATATGGCGACATAACGTGACGATTTCATCCAGGACACTGAGCGCTTGAAGGCGGATGATGACGTGGACGCCTGTGGATGCAAAGAACGTCGCGACCAGGTCGTGCAAATTCGCGAGCCAGTTCGAGTCGCTGGCCGGATGGCACGCTTCGGCTCGAAAGGTCACGAGGTTGGTCACCGTTGCAAGCGGGCAGTACGCCATATATACCTCCACGACCGCATAAAAGTCGTAGAGGTTGCCTACGAGTGTGTTTGTGTAAGGCTTGAAAACCAATCATATACAATAAATACACTATCAAATGTCCAGTGGATGCTGCTTTGAAATAGCATGAAAATCCAGCATCACATATATATATATATATATATATATACAATGTTTCATTCGATTTGATGAAAATACAATATACTTCAACGTTCATCCGTCGAGTGGAACGACTTAATCTTCTCAAGCCGATTCGAAATTCGAGTGTTGGGGTTACTGCCAAATCCGCACACGATTGATCGACCAATCAAAACCCAGATCACGAATCAAGTAGCCAATCAAACCCACTCTTCGACCAACTCAATATTGAATTTTAGTGTGTTACTTCAATTAGTGTGACACAGGACGATTTTACGTATACAAAAGTCAGGTACAACGAATCGATCGATATAGATTTGGTGAATCAGCACAAACGTCCAAAGTTTGGGTAAAAGGACCATATATATATCGCCTTGAGAACCTTGAAAGCGGCGGTGTGACGACGACAAGGGCGGGTCCGACAGTTGCTTTGGGTGGTGCAGCGCTTCCACGAGCAGCAACGTGTCCAGTAACTCACCCGCCAGTCGGTCTGCCGGACCTTCGTCAGCAAAAGCTTGCGCAGCCATCCACGGAAACAACCGGCGCAGGTAATCAAACACCAAGTCCCACTCAATGAGCATCTGGTCGCCGTACTTTTTGATCAGTCGCTGCAAACTCAGCACGACTTCAAATATGACTATGCTGTGGGGGCTCTGAACCGCGGGCAGCAGGCTTCGCAAGACGGAGCTCCGCCCAACTTCCAAGCTCGTCACCCGCTGACTCCCCCACGCGCTCATCCCGATAAAGAACACGGCGCCACTAACATGAATTTTGAGGGCCAATATGGGAGAACCTAGCTAGCCTGCCAGAAAGCCAGCCATACCGCACGACAAATGGGGCCACGGGCGCTTCAAGCAGCCCCAACAGCCCGTGCAGAACTTGATACCGCGACGCTCCCGACAGCAAGTGCTTGATGATAGCCCACGTGCTCACGCCATCCTCCTTGACGTTGACCAGCCCACACAACGACGCCAGACACTCGGGTGTGGCGGCGGCGGCGTCCAACTCGTGATTGACCAAGATCGTCATGAACTTGAGGAACCGCTTGCACGCGTCCTTGTCCCTTCGGGCGTACGCGGCGTCAGCTCGGCCAGACAGGAGTGTTGTAATCGACGTCACAATCTCGGGCTCTACATCAGCACAATCATCATCTGAGTTCGTTTGATTGTGATTTGTGTACCCAAAGCATGAGGAGACCGCCTCAGAATGCAGTGCAGCAGCGAACTGAGCTCTTTCTGGGCATCAGATGTCTCCAGTAATGTCAATAACACCCAGCCCAAGTCCTTGGCAAATGGCAGCACCGTCCGGCCGTCTTGTACCAGCAGCCGCAAACTGTTTTGCCGCCGGAGGAATTCGCCGTGTCCCGTGGTCTAGAAAGATTGTGTATATATGTGACAGAGATATAACTGTTGATAGCCAATGTTTCGTACCAAAAGTTGAAAGATGGCAAGACGCATGCCCAGTGGCACCCGGTCGTAATGCAGTTCGAGGCACACGTCCAGAAACGTGTATGCTATGGCACGAGTGTCGTGATTACGATGGCTGAGCAGCTTGTCGACACACTGCCACGCCGACTGCAAGTGGCAGCTGTCCACACGGACGCGCCTAAGCCCGGCCGCCACTTTCGCCACATGCGCGACAAACGCACGCTCGTCCACGCGGGAGCTGGTGAGGTACACGGAAAACCCAAGTGAATCTGCGACGTGGTCTGCCGCGTCTTCCCGACGCAAAGTATACATGTGCACGAGAAGGTTGATCTGACTGACGAGGTCGTCACTGGTGCGCGCTGTGTCGTCAGTTGGTTGGTCGTGCTGTTGTCGGAGGCTGGTGGCCTTGTGTGCTGTGCGTTTGGCCAAGGCAGATGATTGCTGGGCATTGATCTTTGCCGGTGCAGGTGGAGAATTCTCACTCGATGACATCGTTCAACCAGCGCCAACCCGGTCGACTCGGCCGATCTTGATCAACGTTTGAGGTAAACAAACCCAAATGGACTCACACTAATTTTACTTTAACATGAAATAGCGTGCAATGAGTTGAACCAATCATCGTCGAGGAAAGCAGATTTGGTGAATCTCAAGGGAATAAAGCAGTAACAACATCACGACGGCAGCACTTTGACGTTGATGGGACTTGCAATGCATTGGTTGGTGACGCCTTGGAACAGCATTTAGCCGAAACCAATCCAGGGTCGTAGTGCACTGTGCACCAACATTAGTAGTACGGATAATATGTAGTATCCGAATGTCGACTGATTGTAGTGGGCTTCCCGCCCTTTACGAACGCTACTGTACACGATCGCTTGTACTACAATACAAGTAAGAAACTTATTCCGAAATTGCCAAGAACTATGTTAGGGCAAAACTTACAACTTCTTTCATTGCAGTACGTCTTTGCATTAACGTTCGTTTGCTTGTATTGTCCACCGATGTAAGAGTTCTGGCAGACAAGTGTGCAGATGAGACAGGTATGCATCTTGAAGATCCTTGAGCCTGCTACGGTATATAATAACGGTCTTGACGAAAGTCCCTTATAGCTAGTGTCCTCTTTACCACATTGGTGGATTCAGCATCGAACGACTGGATGGATACCTCGTGCACTTGAACTGCGATACGGTGGGAGAGATCACTACTACATACGTAGGTATCTCAGAATGCATAGAACACTAATGACAATGTATTGACGTTTATCATAATGCTAACGTTATGCAATTGATTGAATGCCAAGCTAGCCAAGTGGGCAAGTCAGTGACATTATTGCAAACTTCAAACCATCGTTTCGCAAGAAGCTAACGTCCACTAGAGGTCTATAACTTCAAGACCAACCCTGGATCAATATTATTTTTATTATTGCTCGAGCGTTCCCTACAAACGTTACAGAGGCCGCGCTCTCGCACATCATGTGGCTTACTTTACCAACTCCATTACGACCACTCATGCCTCGTTCTGCACCCACTCTTGTACAATAATGTACGGCATTTGCGTACGAATACGGCAAACTGCCCTTGAAACCACTCGTCGCATTGTACGGTTTGTACGGCCATCGTACGTTCGCGCCAAAAATAGCATTTTGGCGGGCCTTTTTAACTAACAGCCACCGACTGCTGCTTTTTTTAGTGACGTGGCGGCATATTCGACGGTAAAAAATGAACCCCATTTGTTCAACGGATGCTTGGGTTTCTACTGCCAATCCCTCAGTGCAGGTCAAGCTTGCCTCGAGAGGGGCCACGCTACGCACACCTGCACTCGACCCCCCCCATAAAAACGGTATAAAGTGACAATGCAGTCAACCGCCCATAATGTAGACAAAACCAGCCAAATTAGCCAATGCAAACATAAAGTTATAAAGTCGACTCGTTCCTCCACGAACGCTGGACGACTCGGACAAACCACAGCATTCAACCCCGACGTACTAGTAAATCCATTCAATATACACGCTGTATTCCTAGTACAGCCGTTCGTTACTGAAGCATGTCTGCTACCAAAGCTACAGCCTGAAGGGTAGCCGCCCACCCATACCCGCCCGACGGATTTCGCATGAAATTGAAGTTTTTTTCTGTTTTTAGTCAGTTTTTGAGCCATCATGACCGTTCGTTGGCCTGATCATCTGTCGAGCCAATCGAAGTTGACTGCATCCGTCCTGCGTATCGAGTATGGCGGGACCCGCGCAGGTGGCATTATTGACACCTGGAGGACTTTACGCTCCAGAATTCAATTGGTTGCGTCGTGCCTCCAACTTCTCCACACCGTCCGTCCCCCTTCACCACATACCACCATCGACCTATGGACTTCCTGGCGTGCCACGAAGAGGTTGCGTGTGCCTCTTCACCTTGTGCCAGCTCGGGCGCGTCCTTCGAGTTCACCACGGTCGCGGCGGACGACACCGCCGACATCCTCGATACCCTCTACCGCCGCGAAAGCGGCAGCAGGTCTCGCCCCGCGGCCGACTACCTCGTGCGCACCCAGCTCCATGGCATGACATCGTCGTGGCGCGCGCAAGTCGTGGACTGGATGATGTCTGTCGCGCACACGGTCGAGTTCGAAGTGACCACGGTGGCGCTGGCCATTCATTACCTCGACATGTACCTGTCGGTGGTGTCCGTGCGCCAGACGGACCTCGAGCTCATCGCGCTCGTGTGCCTCATGACAGCGTCCAAGTTCAACGACACGGACGGCCTGACTGTGGCCGAGGTGTCCCATATGATCGACGACAAGTACTCGGCGGCGTCGGTGCTAGCGGTGGAGCGGTCGCTTCTCCTAAAGCTGCAGTGGAGGCTGCATGCCGCGCTGCCCCACCACTTCATTGAGTGCTTTGTGGCCCAACTCCCGCAGCCCGATGTGGCGGCGGACGTCATGAGTCGCTGCGCTACGATGTTGGCGGCGGTAGTCCGCGACATCACGAGCTTGGACTTTGCACCGTCCGAGATTGCGTACACCGTGCTTACCCTCGCCATGCACGAACTGCATGTGGGTGCGTCGTTGCCGACATATCAAGGCGACTCTCCCCGATTGGTCGAGTGCGAAGAGGTTGTCGAAGCGATCGTCGGGCCGTCACTAAAGGGAGGGAACGATGGTACAGTCAGCAAGCGCAGCAAACGTGCGTCCAGTCCGTCTAACGTTGAAGACTTCATCGACGACAACGTCGACGCACCCCCTCGACAACGCCAGCGGCTAGGGTCCGTATAACTTAACATACACACACTTATTATTACGACAATCACACACGAAGAAACCAAGTTGGTTGCCCTTGCGCTGAACCGTGTTCATGCTGCTAGTTTGCACTTCAAAGTCCACTTTCAAATATAACTTATTGCAATTTGGTTGAAATATGCTGCTCGAAAAAAGTGAATTGTTTTTTGTGCACGTGGCACATGAAAACCCCATACGAAGTAGTTCGAAGTGGGAATGTCTTAATATTTATTGATATTAATCCAAAACTCTCAGTCAATTAACCCCGTAGTTCGAAGACGCATGTGTAACTATGTATCCTCGAAAACGTCGAAACGTATAAAACTTGTCGATCGAGGTCCGTGACAAGTCTAGCATGGGTGAGCTCGGCAAGTGCTGCTGCCTGACGGCGCTCTTGACCAAGCTCTTATGTCACCCTTTAACGTAACGTTAATAAAACACTTACGACACACTACGTTACCAGAACAGGGCCTAATTAAACTATACCCCATAACTAACAGTAAGTTTGCAATATCTATACTATTATAGTAGAGAACTTCTGCAATCGTGTGAAATTTCGGCAAAAAGCGCAAAGTAGAATTCCTTGTGTCAAGATTTCTGCAACAAACTACTTACTAACGTAGGGCACCAGTCATCGGCACTGTTGTAAGCTAATAGAAATGCCCGAATGCCTCTTATTGGTCAAAATGTAGTTCTTCAAGAATTAGTGCCCCTTATAAATTAGAGGTTGGACCAGTAAATTTTGTGTTGATCATACAGAAATCGTTACTGTAGCAGTTAATACCCAATCTAAACACATATTCCTTTGATAGCTAATATGATGACAGCATGCGAACTAGAGCTAACCAACCAACAACCCAATGGTGTTCAATGGGGGTTCGGGGTTCCGGGGTTTCGGGGTTTTTAAACACAAACATAACGTTAACTGAATACCACTCAATACAATCAAATCAATCGAATATGATGTATCCAGCATAACGATAACATTTGACAACACGTTTGAATTAACAGTACATAACTTCACACAGCGTATATAGTCTGCTGGGGTTTCGGGGTTTCTGACAATGAAATACCAAAATACATAGATATAATATCGAAATACATCCATGAAATACCTACATACATAGATGAAACACCAAAAGACATGGATAAAATACCATATAGATACATCGATGATATATACCCAAAGAAACAGATGAAATAATACCTAAAATCTCGGGAGCTGACCATCGAAACGACCCCGCGCCGTGTGTTAGCAGCACTTGGACATCCATTTCCCGCGACCAGCCAAAATCCGTCAGTTTCGCATCCCCCGAGCTGTGGAGCAGCACATGCTTGGACTTGACATCGCGGTGGATGATACTGGCTTCATGAAGGCACACAAGCGCCTCGATCAACTGGATGGTGTACCGGAGCTTCTCTGTCCACATATCGACACTGCGGCTGGTTCGGGTATGATGTAAAAAATATTTTTAAAAGTAATAATAGATAAAACATGATTTATAACAGTAGTATACCGCGGTCCATAAACTCAAACACGAGGTGCAGGTTGCCGTCGTCGGGGACGGACCACACGAGCCCGTACATGGCAAGGATGTTTGGCGAGAGTTGGAGGATTCAATACATTACACAAGTCTAAAACAAGTTCCGATGACTGGTGCCCTACGAAAAACGCTACTTTTGAAAATCCTGCACGTGTTTACTATTTAAATTGATATCCTTTTAACCTCAATTCATGAGCTGAATCTTGCGGTTATTTTGATATCACATCAATATGTTGTCTAACGTTACTAGACAACTTCTACATTCATTACTTTGAAGTAGTATGTACTTGGAGTAGTACTTCCTATTAATTGTAGGTGTAACAAAGTTGATAATAAAATTACGGAGAATGACTAACTTCACTATCAAGACATATATATTTGAGGCAATGTTATATTAAAGTTATTACTATTAATACTTCGAAGTAAGGTAACGCATCGAATTCGCGAACACTTTTTGCCTTGTGTCATGCCTAATTTTTGACGCAACATATCTCTGGAAATCCTTGGAATTTCGTAAATCTGAAGTCATATAAGGAAAATATAATTCGAGCACTATTTTATAGTTCCTTCATAAACAACTGAATATGTTGTTTGTATAGGATTATAAGGAGCAGTCGTAAACGTGGGAACGAAAGTTTGTCATTTTCTATTTCTCGGCAGGAGGCTGCGGGAAATGATCAACTTTACGATCCTCAAACGATATGGCAGCGCATTATTCATCATCACCATACAACACGCTAGAATCAAATCGTGTTCAGTCTGAGCAAGAAAGTAGCGGTGCACTACATTTAATTGCCATTTTGAAGGATTGGCATCGTCCTCAATCAGATTGCGCTGAGTTGCTTGACTCCACACAAAACGGTTGCATAACTTTTAAAAATATGACATTTAAATGTTAGAAAATTATAACATAACATATCAATATATGCTATAAATAATTGTTTGTCATCTTTTCGCTATATTATTCATTACTCAAAATTTGAGCAAATTGAGACGTAGAATCGACAGATCTCAATGTGGTGAAGAAATTCTACGACTCTCAGTCAGATTCAAATTTGGTGATGAATGTGATCCAGAAATAGATATTTAACCTAACATTAGTGGTATTTTACATGGGCGCTTGGATATGCCGCTGAGATGTATCTTGATATTTGTACGTGACTCTTATCCGTATATAATATCCGGAGGCAGGTGGGACGTTTAACCTAGTGATAAAACGCATGAGTTCGGTATTTACAGTTAACGCATTACTCTAGGTATTTGGGTTTAACTCACATTAATTGTACGTTAAATAATAAAACCTCCACTCTTCGATTTGGCCAGTTGGAAGTTTTTAGATGATGTGCACTATTGCTTGGTTTTTAAATTTCCTCAGAATTTAATGTCAAATCGATTAAATTACCAAACAGTTCTGAGCTGCCACTGTGAAGTTGCTACACCATCGTTTCAGGTTGTTGGGTCTTGTCGAAAGCCCAATCAAAAGTCCTCAGCCCCTAATGCGTCTACTAGACCTGACAAGAGCTAATTCGATGGAGCTGTGTGGTATGCTACCAATTCCCTTTGAGGTTCGCTGTACTTATGCAACCTCTTGGTTGAAATAAAGGTCCAAAACAATGATCTTTTTTCGGATTTTCCTTGAAGTTGTCGCACCCGGTCGTCGGTCGTAGTTCGAAGTCGCAAGTGTAAACGTCAAAACTTTTCAATCACACTCCGTGATGGGTTGGCTGGCTGCGCACCTACTGTCACACGAGACGTACAACAGTAGTCCTGAACAAGGTACTACGTACTAGTATTAATATATCGTTTGATTTTCTTTCTACTAGTACTCCAAAGTACTTCGAGCTGATGACTGCATTTGCGTCGCTCCTTCCAAAGCCCTGAAACCTTGCAATCCAAATGAAAGTTGGTAATACAGAGATACTTATTGACCAAAGACGCAAGCATGTATGGACTCGTTGGAAATGTCATTCGCTCGTTTTGTTTGGGTTGCGTTGCCATTTCAAAGTACAGTGGAACGTTGTATCTGCCTTTCGTGCTCCGCAAGTGCTGCTGCCTGACATCGCCCTTGACCAAGCTCTTGTGCATCCCTTGAACTTAACAGCACACTTATTACTACCGCACACACACCGGTAATGCGCAAATCAGCTCAAAGGCGTTTTTTTCACTACAATGACCATTTCTCGTAGTCGTCGTCCTTGACTGTAAAGTACTAGTAGTACAGTATACTACTACTAATAGTACTAGTAGAGTACTCGTTTTGGTTGAAATAAAACTCGAAATATTTGAAGTAAAGCTCGAAATAACGATTCAGATTTGTACCCGGCACAGGAGAAATCCGTAGTTCGAAGTCGCATGTGTGCGTTTCCACGAAAACGTCAAAACTTTTCCATCGAGCTTGGTAACAAGTTCGCATGGGTGTTCTCGGCAAATGCTGCTGCCTGACGGCGCTCTTGACCAAGATCGTATGCCTCGCATGTACCTTTGGTCCTCTCATCTTCATGTATCTGCTCTACGCGCTATACATCAAACCATGGGGCGAACAGCAAGTCCGCGACCTCACGCGCGGCGTCAACTTGTCCAGCCCAACGGTGAATTGTTCGGGGTGCGTTGTCGGCGTCAACACGCAATTCCCCACCAACACCACGGGCATATTGCACTTTATGGATACCAGTGGTGGTAAAGCTTCCAGCGCCGCGGTATGCACACCTCGTCGATACTGAATATGTCGTCGCCTCATGCGAAGTCTCTCCATCAGGTTGGCACCTCGCTGTTTGCAACCATTGCGGCCATCTTGGCCGGCACTGCGGTCGGTGGCTCTGTGGCCCAACTCGGCAGCTCGGGCAGCATGGGCGCCGGGGCGTACGAAATGATATCGATCGTCGAACAGGCGCAATTCGTAGGACTTTTGGGCCAATTGGCCACCGGTGGCGTACCCACGTTCTTCCAGCAGTTCACCAAGGATTTGTCTTGGGTCAACTTCAACGTTGTCAAGCTAGCCAACTCAGACCTGGCTCCCAAGCGTCAGCTGCTCAACCTCCTCGAAGCCCAGCACCAACAAACGGGCGTCGACAGGTACGCAACCATGGTGGGTGTGTTGCCCGAGGAGCTGTTCTACTACACCCTGTTGGCTCTGGGGGTGGTGTTGGGCGGGGTGCTGGTGCTGTACGTGGTAGCGGTGGCGGTGATGTCGTACTTGAGCAAATCAAAAGCCAACCTGTGGGGGACCTACTTTCGCAAAGTCATATGGGCGTTCGTCCTCATCCTGCTCCTGGCTTTGTACATCCTGTCCATGACGGGATCCTATCGTGCGTACTTCCACATCAAGCGGGACGGCGCCGGCGCGGCATCCGCGGCAATCGTGATCTTGCTCGTAATCGTCGGCACGACCCTCATCTACGGCATCCTGGTGATTGCAACCAATCCGTCTGAACTGGCTGACATCGGCACGTTCGAGCACGAACAGCGGCCGTTCAACGCCGCATACGGGCCGTACTATGAAGAATTCAACGTGGACAACCGATACTTTTTTGTCCCCAAAGCTATCTTGGCCGTCACCTCGGGGGTTATCGTGGGGGTTGTGCAGGCACCGACGTGGCAGCTGGGGCTGCTCATCGGCGCCAATCTCTTGTTTCTGTTGGCGTTGGTCGTGCGCGAGCCGTTTCTGCTCCGGTTTCTGTTTTACATTGGCGTCTTGTCGTCGTTCCTCAAGGTGTTTTTGCTCCTTTTGATGGTCATCATGATCCGCGACGATGTGTTCCCGCAAAACGTTCGGGACCACGTCGCATATGTGATTGTGGGCGTCAACTTGGCCGTGTTTGCGTTATTGATTGTGCGACAGCTGTACGTGGCCGGCCGCAAGGTCGTCCTGTCGTGCGGCGCCAAGAAGAACAAGGACGCCAACAACACCACTGCCACTCGCGCCGACTTTGACCAAGGCGAGTCGCCCGTGCAGACTCCCATGACTCGCCAGCCCAAGACAGCCAGCTATACCAACGACTTGGAGCGAGCAAGGCACAAACCGACCCGTCAGAATCGCAACAACGATGTGCGGGAACCGTTGAACGTTCAAGCCACGTCGTCTGGGGCTGCTGGTACCTACCCTCTTGGTGACGTCGATAGAGATACCAATCTATCGTCCACAGCTCCAACGGCACCTTCAAAATTTAGCTTTGGTCGTCCTCCTAATACAAGAACTACTGCCATGGGTATACACTCCAAGCCACTGCCTCCATCCCCCACGACTTCTCAGCTTCCCCCGCCACCGCCCACAAGTGCGCTGGCATCCCCAACGTCCGGGGCAGCTCCGGCGTCGGCGGCAGCAGCTAGCGGTGCCTTTCTAGCTGCTTCCCCCCGTTCGCCCCGTCCACACGACCCCAACGAGTACGATGTGGACAGTGAAATCCATGGCTACGGTGGCGGTGGCTTCATTCCAGATATGAGGGGCGACCAGAGTTTTGACTCGTACGGATCTCTATCGTTTGGGTCGTATGAGAACAACATGGTACGCCAAAGCTCCAAGATAAGCAGTGATTCAGCGTCAGTGGGAGGAGAAGGGGATGCATCGTCATCGATCGCATACCTCGGGCGAAAGTCCTCTTATGACAGCTTCACGTCGCTCCAGCCGGGTAATTACGTCTCCCCATCTCACCGGCCGTCTCAGTCAGACACCCCAACGTCGTTTGCATCGTACAACCAGGGACCCAGTACTTTTACCCCAAATCCGGTGCGAGAACGACAGAATAATGATACGCTCAACGACAGCTTTCAGTCGTTTCAAAGCGACGAAGCATCGTTTACCAACTCGAACCTGTTTCAGAGCGGTGGGTCGCAGCAGGTGCTGGACACCCTCGCCGCCAAGTACTTGGCCGAAAGGAATGGCCAGCAAGCCAACAAAGGCGCGGTCGCGGCTACTCCGCTCAGTCCGTCCGCAGTTCCAATGCTAGAACGAAGGGTGTTGTCTGGGGATGTAATTGCCCGCCAACGCTCTCGAAGTCTGGACGACTGGGGACTCCAACCACAGACGAAAGGCGGCGGCAGTCCGTCGAGGCACTCGGAGTCGTCGTTGTTGGATCCGCACAAACGCAATCACGATGATGACGATGATGGCAAGCGCAAGTCCGTGTACCTTCGGTATATTGCCAATGACCAACCCCATTCTTTCATGGACTCGGAAGACGAGTTCGATCTGTAGGGAGCCAAGGAAGGGGGTATATGTTAATATATATATATATACCAAGCGATTGATTGTATCAAATGTGTGTCGTGCCATGAGGATAAATAATACTTTTATTGCTGAGAATCGTTCGTCATGATGGATGACATGAAGCAGACGCAACATGCAAACAATGATAGATTTGATTTCAAATGTGATACGATTATACTGATTCTTTACACAAGCCGGCTTCTAAACAACGAAGATGGCACTGGGGTAGTACTATTCATTTGCAAGGACCAGTCGCAAATGCATGTGTCCACCGTCAGAGTTCGTTGGCTGCCAAGGCGGCTCGACTTGTGGCAAAAATACAGGTGCAGATGATGTCGAAGGTGTTGTTGGTGGTTGTCGAGAGTTCCAGCGACCAACTGAAAGCAACCAACCAACCACACAACTCCCCCCGCTTCTGCCTATTCCCTAACAAGTGGCGCTCTTCGCACCACGTACTACAGCACCAACGCTTGGGCCACCGCGTACTCGCCAGAATGCGAGATGGACAGCTTGATGCTGGACAAGTTGGAGTTCTGGAATGCTTCCAGGGCACGACCGGTCAATGTGACAGTGGGTGCCCCAGACGTGGCTTTGCCGACTTCAATGTCGATGAGCGGGGCATCGGCGCCTTGGGTGAGGGTGGCGCCGGGATTGGCGTTGCAGATGGCCTTGATCACGGCTTCCTTGGCAGCCCATCGGCCAGCAAACGACGACGCAGCGCCGGCAGACGACTCGCAGTAGGCGATTTCCGCCGCCGTAAAGTTGCGCTGGATAAACACTTGCTTGGTGGCGTAGTCTGCAAACGTCGCGACGGGTTCGACGTCGATGCCGAGGCCTTGGCCCGACGACAGAATCAATTGGGCCCCGGATTGGGCGAGCGAACTTTCAAGCAACTTTTTGGGCAACTGGTCGACAGAAGGCGGCGTGGGGGCGGCAACGGTGACCGCGTCCGTGGCTTGCTTGGCGGCTTTGGCCGACGACACGTCGCCAAACGTCCACGTTTTTTCCTTGGCGTTGTAGCTCGCTCGGGCGAGGGGGTTCAAGTACACATTCATTTCGTTCTCGGACGTGTACGGCGCATGCTCCTTAACACGAACAAACGTGTTCTTGCCAGAGAGAACGTCTTGCATGTACTGGTGCAGTCCCCCAGCGCGCTTGCTGCGCTTGGTCACGTACTTTTCGAACTGGGTGTCGTTCAGCGCAGCCAAGAGGTAGTTGGGGTGGATCAACAACACTTCGGCCCCGGCTTGGCCGAACCCAAAACTCTTCATGATGGCCGCCTTGATGCCGTCGGTTTGGATGCTACGATTCGGGTACACGAGCATGTCAAACTTTTGGAGTTCGGGCGCCGTGTTGTCGTTGTTGGCGTTCCCTGGCACGATGCCGGATTGCATGACTTGCAGCAGTCCGTTGAACATCCACGCCGCGGCCGCGCCCTTGGGGTGCCCCGTCAGGTACTTTTGGCACACGACCATGATCGGGTTGCCCGCCGTGCGGCCCAAATGTTCGAGTTGGCGGTGGGTGATCTCGCTCTCGTTCTTGTCGTTGGCGTTGGTGCCGGTGCCGTGGAAACTGGCGACGCCAATGTCGTCAGTGGTCAAGCCCCACATGTTGAGGGCCCCACGCAACGGCGAGATGCCGGCGTTGCCCTTGAAGTACTCGTGTCCCCACGTGTATTGGGCCTGCTTGACCTTCTTTTCCGCCATCGCATGCACCATGTCGACGTCGTACAAGGTCTGGACACCCGCCGCAATGTTCTTGAGCTGGCGCGCCTTCCAAAACTCGATCGCTTCGATTTCTTCTTCGAATTGCGACCGACGGAACGCCGGGTTCAACAATGCGTTGCGCATGTTGCCAGAGCCGACGACATGTTCGCGGGCGGTGGTGGACACCCCCTTGCCAGGAGCGGGCACCGACCGGCCGTTCTTGTCCGTGGCCGTGTTGGTGATGCCCACGACACCGTAGATGGGCACTCCCATGTCCAGCGCCAACGTCGCGTCCATGAGCACTTGGATACCGGCGCCTTGCGCCTCCATGAACCCGCCACGGGTGTCCGTGCAAGGTCGGCACATTTCGCGCGGGTCGCGGCCCATGGCGGTCTCCTTCTCCGAGTCACTCGTCGCCTTCATCTGGGCAAACTCGTACGAGCCCACTTCGCAGAAATCATCGTACCCGCCCACAATCACGACACGAGCCTTGCCGCTCAAGATGGTTTCGACACCAATGTCCACAGACTCGGCGGCCGTGGCACAGGCGCCGACGGGAGTTTTGATGGGTCCGGACGAAGACAGGAGCAACATGTTGACCCAAGCTGCCATCGTGTTGATGAAGCATTCTTGCAGCGAGTCGGACGGAATGTTCTTGCCGATCGCTCGATCGTGGTAGATGCGGCGCAGCGAACGCATGCCGCCCATGCCAGACCCGGACGTGTTGCCGACTTCCGACACATGAACGTACTGGTAGAACTCGTACGGGTCGGTGATCCCAGCGCAGATGAGTGCTTCTGCCGTCGACACGAGCGTGAACAGCGTGATCGGGTCCACGGCTTCGGCAATGTCGGCAGGGATACCGTAGCGTTTGGCGTCCCATCCGGTGGGGATTTGGCCAGCCACCCACCGGTTAAAGTGGAGCGACTTGGGGATCGACAGCACCGCACCTTGTCGCAGACGCAGCATCCACGTACCGTCCAACTCGAACACGTCGCAGTTTTCTTCACCAAGTTCTTTTTGATACTCGAGGCCTTCGTCGCGACTTGCGACTTCGATTGGACGCATGTTCTTGTCCACAGCCACTTGCTGCAAAAACATCTTCTTCTTTGGGTCGTACCCGTCAAAGAGCTCGGGCTCCACCACGCGGATACCAGAGTGCTTTAGGATGTTCTCTTCGTACAGTGCCTTGATTTGGGTGTCGGCCACGGGGTCCTTGGTCTTGGCATCGACCCACCCAATGTAGTGGTCGCCAGACGACTTGGTTGGGCCGTTGTGGTATGTAATGTACCCCAACACCCACGCCAATTCGATGCACCCTTCGAGGGAGAACACGCCGAACGATTCCATCTCCCAACGGGTACGCGAGTTCCCCCACGGGCCCACTTCGCCGAACCCGACGATCACCACCGTCTTGTCCAGGTTGATCATGCCCTTGTAGTCTTTGCCGAGACGCGCCAAGTCCGACGCCGCGGGCAAGTCGGGGAATTGCGAGTAGTAGTTGTGCATGTTGGCTCGGTTCAACACGGGCTTATCGTCTTCGTCTTCGGGGGTAGTACCGACGTTGTCCTTCTTGCGGTCGTCCACGCTGGCGCGGCGAATCTTGGACTCGTCCGTGATGGCGGCGCGGATTCGGTCGGTTTGCACCTTCAAGTCGTGCAGTTGGGCCATACCGCCGCCCAAGTCGATCCATAGAGGGGCCTTGGCGGCCGCCGCCACCATGCGCGGGTGCAAGATGGACGTCAAGTTGAACGCCATTTCAATTTGACTGAACGTGCGCACGCCCAACTGTTCGATGCCGGCCGACACGATGTTGTTACCAGCCATAAGCCCCGTGCCGCGGGTCCATCCGATCACGGCGCCGCCGATGCTGATGTAGTCCTCCCAGCCTTCGGAATGCCACTTGTTTGCCAGAGCTTCGAGTCCGAGCTTAGCTTCAGCGTAGAGCCCGTCGCCCCCCATGGTCCCGTGGTTGGGGGACAGGGGCAGCATCGCCAAGCACGGACGCGTGCGGATGTTCTGCGCGCGCTTGTAGTCGATGATCTTGCCCAGGATACGGTACGTGTTGGTCAACATGATGCGGTGCGCGAGCTCCGACTTGGAGTCAATATCCGCGAGGGTGGGGCCCACGACGGAAATCGCACCGAACGGGATCACAAAGTCCAGGTCCAGCTTGAGTTGTTGGTAGATGTGCGCGACCAGCGACCCGCAGTCCTTGGCCGACGCTTGGTTGAACGGCAACAGGATCAATTTGGAGCCCCGCGACCCGTGGTTTTCGTACACGCTGCGGAAGAACTGGGTCGCCTTGGTCGAGAAGCTGCTTGTGGTGCACACGACGGTAGCGCCACCCTCGAGCAAGGCCTTGACCACTTCGCTTGCGATCGAGTCGCGGCCGCAGCCCGTCACGAGCGCATTCTTTCCCACAAATGACACACCACTCGTGGCGATTTCGTGCATGCTCAGCAAAAAGTCCTTGGTCAAGTGCTCGTCCACCACGCGGTTAGTCGGGTCGACATGATCTGCCGACCGGATGTGCACATACGGCAGCACGTGGGGCGCGCCGCCGACCTTGGCACGCTTCAACCGGCGAGTGACCGCCTTCAAGCCCCACAACTTAGAGCCGCCGACGCGGGTGCTGCGCTTGGTGACGGTGCGCTTGTGCAGCACAGGCTCGCTGCTGACGCTGTTGACGTCGCTGTCGTGGCCGTCGTCGAGCTCGGCGGTTTCGATGCCCCGAACCAGCGCCACCGACGAATGCGCACTCTTGGGCGACGCCGCCTTGTGGTCATCCGATCGGTATGCAAACCCACGGGACACTTCGTCCACGTAGTCGACGGACGTGGCACCGCGAGGAACTTCCTTGTACACGATGTTGCCGTTGGCTTCAATCGTCACTTCGGGACGGAACGGTTGGAGCAGCTGCACGTGCACCGGGTCACGGTCCATCCACTTTTCGACTTCTTCGTTGAGTAGTTGGATCGCTTGGGCGTACTCGAGGTTGCCGTTAGCTTGTTGGCGCGACAAGAAGAACTCTGTTGCAGCCAGAAGCTCCGGGGTCGCGCGGTTGCACAGGAACGGCTTGAACCAGCCTTCGGGCTCGCCCATCTTGGTCAGTTGCGACGCGTCGGCGTTGAGGAAGGCCGACATCTCGGCCAAATGCGCGTCGCGGTCAAAGCCGGCGCCGTTGCCCTTCTTGGTCGGGATCGTTTTCGCCAGCGTCTTGTAGTAAAAGTCCAGCGCATCTTGCATGACCCAGTTCCACGAACTGTCGTAGATGCGCACCTTGTTGGCGTCAAACTTGGCCTGGATGCCCTTCTCGTAGTACTCGCCATGTTCCGTGACCCACAAGTCGACTTGCGTCTCCAGCTCGCGGCGCGCCACGTCGTCGGCGTTGATCTTCTTCAACGCATCCAATGGATCCACCTTCATGAACGTTTCGTACGCCGACACTTGGTCACGAAGCATCGTGTGCAGTTCATTCTTGAGGCCATCGAGGGCCGCCGACGACAAGCCGCCGCCTCCGCCACCCACCATGGCCATGCCACCGCCTACGGCCGCGCCGGCCTTGGACGCATACGGGATAGTCACACCAGCGATAGACCCGTACTCGTCCACGACCGAGTTGATCCAGGTCTTGGCTTCGGCTTCCGTGGCAAACCGAGCTTCGGGCGCGTTCACCAACGAATGAATGAGCGCGATTTCAATGCGCTTGGGGCCCAACACTCGCTCTTGAGCCATGTACGACCGCAATTGCGACGCGGAAAACCCTCCGGGGAGCTTGGCACTGAGCATCTTGGCTACGGTCGTCGTAAAGTACTTGCCGGGCTTGGTGTAGCTGGCAAACTTGGGCGCCAAGTCGCCGAGCTTGGTTTCGGCAACTCCGTCAACCCCGCCGCCGAATTCAGCTTCGAGTTCCCCCACGACTTCGTTCTGGACAGCCGACTTGCCGGCCGCCAAGTCGTGCACGCTGACAGCGTCCGTGATGTCGGCGTACTTTTTCTTGAACTTGTGGGCCAAAAACGCCTTGAGACCGTACGCGGCAGTGATATCGGCGTCTGGTACGGGTTCCAGAGGAGCCGCCGCCGCCGCACCAAACGAGGGCATCAGCATCACCGCCGCGCCTTGAGATGGGCCGCCCTTGGAGATAGAGACACCGGCAAACTTGGCGTAGTCGGCCACAACGGTGTCCAACCAAGATTTGGCCACGCCTTCGTTGGCATGGCGGGCGGCGGGGGGGAAGAGGAGGGCGTGCATGAGCACACTCTCGACGCGGCCGGCACCGAGGCCGAATTCGGACGACAAGTAGCTCTTGACCTGGTTGATGTTGAACCCACCGGGCAATTGCTTGCGGACAAAGTCAGTTGTGAGCGTGTTAAACACTGGACCGAGGCCCTTGTACGCCTTGAACGACGAGCTCAAGACGGACAGCGGCAGTTCAGGCACGCGGTCGACTCCTCCGCCGAATTCCTTCTCCAATTCACCCACGACTTCGTTTTGGGCGGCCGATTTCCCAGCCGCCAAGCCGTGAATGGTCGCGTTGTCGTCGATTTCCGCCAATTGTTTCTTGAAACGATGCGCGAGGAACACACGCAGCACGTGGTTGGCACTGACAGGTTCGTCAGTGACCGCCGCAGCAGCAGGGGCGGCAGGGGCCGCCACCGCAACCGGAGCCGGCGCCGCCACGACCGCCACGGGAGCCGCCACCACAGGAGCAGCAGAAGCAGCATCTTCTTCAACTTGGACGTCCGCCGACAAAGCGGCTTCCGCCGAGGCGGCGGCTGCCTGAGCATGGGCAAAATCAACCGCCGACGGATGATCCGATTCGTTGTCGTAGTAGATGGTATCGCGGTCCTTGGTGATAAACAAGATGTCGCACTTGGTGCGAGGGAATCGGCCGCTTTGGAGCGTGCGGGTGGCCATGCCCGTGAGCGTGGCCGATGGTCCGATTTCGACAAACCGGCGCAGGCCGTTGTTGAAAAAGTACGCCTGGGTCTTGATCCACTGGACGGGGGACGCGAACTGGTACGCGAGCAGTTCAATCACGAGCGTCCACACGAGTTCGTCGAGGGGGGTCGAGTCCCAGTTGGCCAGGATCGGCGTCAAGCTGGGGCTGCCGGTGAGGTCGACGATTTCTTGAACGTACTCCTTGGTGCAGCTAAACGGCTTGGCGATCAAGTTGGGGATATAGTGACTTTCCAGCAACGCCTTGTTCCCAAACAGCACTTCCTTCTTGAGCATCGGGCGCATGAGCTCACGGAACGCCGGCACGCCGCTCAGCAGCTTGCGTGAATGGAACGGCACGTCGATGCCGACCAGCGGAATCGTCGACGTGCCGCGCTTGAGGCCGAACGGCTTGCCCTTGGTCACAAGCGCTTCCTTTTGTGAGCGCACGAGGACCAGCGACTCTTGGACGAGCGAGTCGAGGCCCACCGTTTGCAGCGACGCCGGCTGCTCCCGGAGCGTTGTCATGATACGAGAAAGCACTTCCAAGTTGACCAACTCGCCGGCCACGACGTACTGGCTGTCTTGGACGTTAAAGTTGACCACTTGGCACAACTGACCAGATTGTTCTTCAATCAAGTCAAGCAACTGGAACAATGTGGACTCGTCAAAGTGCTTGGACCCGACGCGCGCAGGATTGGCGGCCACCATACCATAGTCGGACATGCCGGTGGCGTCGCGCTCGACGGCATTCTGCATGACCATGCCGCGGAGGAACACAACTTCGGCGAGGTCAGGCGTAGCCAGAATCTCGGCAAACGAACTCAACGCAGCGTACTCGCCGAGCGAGTGGCCGGCAAAGTAGCAGTCGGACGGCACCACGCCCTTGGACTTGGCTTCGTTGTACAAAGCCTTCTCCATGAGCACGAGCGCAGGTTGGCTAAACTGTGTCGCAAACAAGAGACCCGTGGGGGCTGAAAACGTAAAGCTTTGGGTGGTGGGCGTGATTTCAGGGAAGAGGGGCACGGTCTTGGTGCCGTGGGGGGCGGACGCGTCCGGCTTTTGGCAGCGAAGGGCCATGTAGTGTTCACGGATGGCGATGCCGCGCTTGCCGCCAAAGTAGATGGTGAGCGAGAGGGGATTCTGGCGCACAATGTCGAGGATGGAGAACCCAAACTTGTCGAGCAAGTGGCGGTCGCCGTCGTCCCAGATCTTGCGCACGACGGGGGACGTCGCGTACAGGTCCATACCCATGCCAACTTGAGCCGATCCTTGGCCCGTGAACACGAACGCTGTCTTGGGCATCACGACCTTGGCCTTGGCGCCAAACACGCTCTCGCCGCGACTGTTGGCCACGTTCACGTTGAGCAGGATGAGGCCGTCTGCGACACCGGACTGGGTCACTTGCAGGTACAGCGACTCGCCATTGTACACCATGCCCTTGAAGTCGGCGTGGAACGATTGGAGGTGGGACACTTGGAATTGGTCGGCCATCACGTCCATCACGAGGTTGCGCACCTTCGTGGCAGTCCACATACCGTGCATGATGGGCGTGCCGTGGGGGAGGTTGGCAAACGACGCGGCGTACGCGCACCGATGGATCGGGTTCAAGTCGCGCGACGAACGGGCGTAGTCGCCGGCAAAGTCGGGGATGGTAATCGTGAGGGGGGTTTCCAGGAGGTGGCACTGGGTGGTTGCGGCGGCCGTGTCAGGGGTGGCCACGCGCTCCAAGTAGGAGGCGACGGGGTCCTTGGGCACGCCCGCCTCGGCGATCGAAACCGATCCGACCAACTGGTCCAGGTTGGCACCGCCGTAGACCGATCCTTGGACGTCGAACGTGCTCAAGGTGGAAAACCCATCGGCAAACGCTACCGACGTTTTGAGGACAAATTTGTACGTGGCCCCCGCGGGCAGCAGCGCGCCAGACGTCGACTTGAACCAGGACTTGTCGGCCAAGATGGTCACGGCGGCCTTGTCGGCCAAGTGCACGACATGGGTCGACTCGGTCTTTTCAAACGTGTGGTGGTGGTCGGTGAAGGCGCCGCGGATCAAAAACTCACTTTGCACACGCACAACGTCGACGCCATTCTTGGCGACTACGATCACGCCTTGCACCAACTTGCCCGACGCGTTGTTGCGCATGGCCGTGACAAACCCCGTGGACACGACCGAGTCGCCGGCCGCGAACGATCCGTCGTCGGTTGAGCTGAGCAGCGTGTACGAGTGGCTCAAGTGCACCAACCGGAGCAAATCGCCCGAGATTTCCTTGGAAAACACGGGGGCAATCAGCGGCTTCCACCCCGCGACCGTGCTAAAGTCCACGGGCGCCGTGATGCGGTCGGCCGAGAGGCCCAGCGACTGGTTGTACTCGGCAATGTCGTCGGCCGTCACGACAAACGAAGCCGTGTGGGTGGCGTGCACGCTGCTTTCCAGCGCGGGTTGCGATGCCGCAACTGATGTGGCCAGCCAGTGCTGGGCGTAAAACAGCTTGACGTTTTGCTCCGACTCGGACTCGTTCAAGTGGATCGGCGACCACGACAACGCTGGCTTGTACTGGAACACCCGGTTCAAGGACACGACGTCGGACGTCCATTCGCGGGTGGCCGGGCGCACAATGTTGAGGCGGAGGGTGATCACGTCGACGGAAGACTTGGTGATCTCGACCACGGGGGCCGTACGCACGACTGCAATGTCATGCACTCGCAGCGCAACGGGGGACGTGCCGTTGAATTCGATTTCGACTGTTTGGCCGACGCGGGCAGACACGACTTGGGGCGTCGAGTTGGCGACCCATTGGCGGCCAGACACGTAGTGGTCGACTGTGAGCAGGTCGTGGAGCCAGTTGCGGGGTGTGATGACCGACGCCAGTTCAGCCAACCATTCTTCGGTGGTGGTGGCGGTGGTGATGGACTTGGAGAGGACGAACGCGCCGTTGTCGTCGCCGGATCGAGTCCAGCCAGCAGCCGCGACGGCAGCCGAGAGTACCTCGGGCGAATGTTGACGGAACGCCTTGGCGACCAATGTGTCGACCACGCCTTGGCTGATGCCGTGGAGGATGTCCCCCACCGGCTCGTCCTTGGTCTTGATGTGGTACACGGCCAACGGTCCTTGCAAGATCATCACACGACCTGCATCTTGGTCGGGCACGGCTTCCAAATCTTCCGAGTACCAAAGCGAGTCCTTCTTGAACCACGTGATGAGCTCCTTGTCCACAATCGGGATAAAGTTGACGGGTTTGCCGCCAAACTTGCACGAGTGGTAGAAAAAGTCGACGTCGTCCACACTCAGCAAGGCCGACGCGATGCCGGGGTACGCCGCCGTGAACTGGCGCAAGAGCTGCCACGGGTCCGACGTTTTGAGCTGGCTAGCCTTTTGCACAACCAACTTTGACGTTGTGGTAGCTTTGGTCAGGAACCGCTGCTCCGTGCGCTGGAAGAACGCAAACACGCGGCTCATAAACGTCACGTCGATCCATCGCTTGCTGCTGGCCACGTACATGAGCGACACCAACCGGGAAAGGACGTCCAAGTACGTCATTTGCTCGACGTCGACCACGTCACCACGCACGGTGCGGCCAAAGTAGGGTTTTTGGAAGTCCGCGTTGACGCGGGCGATGATAGCGTCCTTGTCGGCGAGAATCGCAGCTTCCTGGTCTTTCATTGGCAACGCAAAATACTTGCGGTCAAAGTCTCGCCAGCACAACGCGCCGCGGTTTTCAATCTTGTGGATCGCTTCGCCCAGCTCAGACTTGAGGGTGATTACACCGCCAGCAGACGACTCGTAGCTCGACTCCCACGTCGACTCGTCGGGGATGCCGGGGGTGGCCACCAAGAGCGACTTGACCGCGTCGGCGGTCGCCGCTTCCTTGGCCACCATCACACGAGACGCCACAAGGATGCCGTCCACAGGCATCTTGGCCTCGCCAAACGCCAAACTCCATTCCCCAGTGATGTACGGGTACGACTGTTCCGCCGACCCGAAGCCGGACCCGACGATCAAGATCACGTTGGGGGTGCGGCGGACGGCCGCGTACGTGGCTAGGAGCGGCGTGTGAAAGTCTTCGCTGCTGTGGTGACCCCCGGCGCGACCCCCAGTCCATTGGATGACCACGGTGGCCGCGGGGTGCTTGTTGGCAATATTGAGTACATCGTGGATCGAGCTGATGGAGCTCGGCTTGAAGCTCACGACGTTGATGTTGACCGAGAGCAGTTCCGTGAGTACTTGGTCGGCTTTTTCAGGCGTCGGGATGCCCGCAGCGACGGTCACCCCTTCGATGGGGATGCCATCTTGACGCATCTTTTTGATCATGGGGAACTGGAACGCCCATTGTTTCGAGTTCAAGTACAACAAGTTGAGGAAGATCCCATTGCCGGGCGACAAGCGGCTAAGCAGATCGGCTACCTTCGACTCAAAAATGGACGGCCGGGGGAGTCCGCCGCACGCCAGTTCGCCAATGTACCCACTTTCGGTGATGGCGGCAACCAGCGGCACGCCATAGTAGCTGGTCGTGGGGGTCATACCACCCACCCACACTGGTTGGCGGCCAAAGCGAGCCGTGTACTTGTTGTGGAGCACGGTGGTGCCGTCCACTGCCTTGGTCAACGTAGGGCCGTACAGTGCTTCCCACGACTGCTTCACAAAGTTGGCAGGTGTCGACAGAATGTAGTCCAAACCTGGCAACGTAGCCGACGCCTTGTGCAACGGCGTAGGGACGACGGTGGTGATCCCGTATCCTTCGACTTGCTTGAGGGTGAGCGTAGCCGCGCCTCGTCCAGGGCCGAAGTCCAACACGTGCGTGACACCGCTGACGGTTTGGGTGAGCGCGGCACTCGTGACGGGCCAGTTCACAATGTCGGTCAGTTGCATCTTCACTACATCCGGAAGCACGTCTTTGGCGCCATACGTTTGAAGGTTCACCGCGTGTTCGTTGGTTCCTACGACTGCAAACTGCAACGACTGGCCAGGAATCGTCAGTCCTAACCGCGCCAAGTCGGCTTCGATCAACGACTGCGCTGGCGCGAGGTTCGTGTTGTGGAAGGCCACGGATACAGCAAGGGGGATAAACGAAATGAGCGGCTTTCGCTGGGAAAATGGAATGCGGCCCTGGGACTCGTCGGGCTTGGCGCTGATTTTTTCGAGGGTCGTCTTGAGCAACACGAGCACGTCCGGGAGTCCGGTCACGACGATCGCGGCGGTGTCGTTGAAGAGGGACAGCTGAAGGGCCCGCGCATCTTTGAGCTTCAACTTGGCATTCACTCCATCCACGGCCTTGCGCAAACCAGCTTCCGGCAACCCGCGCACAAGGAGCATTGGGGAGACATCGCCCGAGTTCGAGATGGCGCCAAACGTGGCCTGGGCACGCACACCGTGAAGAAACATGTACCGGACGAACTGGATGCCGAGAACGCGAAGTTCGTCGGTGGTCTTTGCGGCAGCGAGCAGCACCGCCGCGACCACACCCTGGCTGTGGCCAGATCCGGCGCGGAGTTTTGGAACGAACGCTTCGTGGGTCAAGTGCGCGGCTTCAAGGAACGCAAGGTAGTTTGCAAATTGCGTCAAGAAAATCAGCGGGTAGCTCAACGTCGCGGAGGCCAATGCGTCCTTGGACGGCAGAGAGGACGCGTCCTGGGTCCACAAGAACGGGTGAATGGTCACATTTGGGAACGCTTTGGCTTCTTCGACGAGTGCAGATTGAGCGGCTTCGACGAACGTGCGGACAGTAGTGAACTTTTCAACGAGAGTGGTCAATTCTGCGATGTATTCGTTCGCTTGGCCGCCAAAGGTGACGGCGAAACCAGTGGCGACGTCCGTGACGATGGCGGGCGCCGACACAACGGCGGCAGAAGCTGGCACGTCGAGGATGGGAGTTAATGGAACTGTGTCAGACATGATGCTGGAAGGGTGGGGAGGATGGATGTATCGAGCGGGATGCACCGTGGTCAGGGGTGGTCTGCTCGCAACAAGTCCAATTGGAAAATGACCGGCTCGTGAGTCGAACGTTATTGGCAAAGGACGATTCCACGGAGAAACCTGTGGCAATTGATTTCATGGAAAAGCACTGCATGATCGAATTCCAGAATGAATGGGATATAAGAGGTTTATTTTCCACACTTTGGGTCCTCCAGCCTAGATTCCCCATGTACTTTTGAGAAGTATAATTGCTCGCAGGTTATTTCGCGCGCGAAGTGACTTGATTACCCGATGCGGTGGAGGGGTAGGTTGTTTAACCATACATCTCATGGTCATCGGACGGCCCCGATGACTTCAAAAGTGGGGAACCAATGGAAACGGTGCATCCCTTCCCAGCCAATCCAATGCCTTCGTCACAAGCACGGAAGGGTATGATTGGGTGGCATTTCGGCAAGAGACACGGTCAAGATTGCGGAGCAAAGTCGCGCCACGTGGTGTTTCGTGATCCAACTGCGGCTTATACCTCGGGTAGGCCCAGTGTCTTACATATAGCAAATACATTATAGAATCGATCACAATCCTGCCAATACAAAAATCAACTCTAGTGGTCACTGCTTCAACCGACACATCCGAGGGTGAGTTTAAGTGTGCATGCTTTGAGCTAGCGTGTACGAGGCAAACCCAGATCGTATACACCGATACCACCCCCATCGTATTCAGTACAACCGCTTAAAGGTACTAAAGTTGAACTGGGGATACGCCATCACGCCTTTGGCGATTGTTACGGGCTGTCCACGTCGGTCGTGATGGAGCTTATATGGTTCACGTATCGTGGTGAAGCAATGTCACCTCTCCTTACCAAAACCCGTTTCCTTCAAATATTAGAATTGATTGGCTGGAAATCAAATCTCCAGCATCAAGTGTGGGATAATGTCGATTGTTTTAAACACCTCGTGCACATTGGAAATACCTGTGTTTGGTTATACCGATAAAAAACATTGGTGCCCGACCAGACGCAATCTGTTTAAAACATCTGTGCCCCTTCATTGATTGCGGTGGGTACTCGCAGTAACCAATGTATACCTCATCCAACCAAAAGATCTACTATTACATGTCTTACTGTTAATTCCATGAAAGACATCGCCATAGCATTCGAGAGATACGGTACACCTTCATTCAGGCTCGGAACTATCAGGTACCGATACAGTAGCCAACCGCAGCAACACGTCCCAAGCTTCCCTGTCCATTCATTTCCCCCCTATCCCCACAAACGCCACAATGGCGATACAGCGATTACCATATAGTGACCAAATAAAACGTGTGTAATTGTTGTATCCCATTGAGAATAAAATACCTTACGTACTACGAGCTGGTCGACAAGACATACATACACACAGACAAATAATAGTAGATTAAATAGGATTGTTAGGCAGTTGCGCTTGACAGAGTCGAGGGTTGGTGATGGTCCAGTGAGGATGGTGAGGATATGGTCCAGTGCGACGGCACGCGGCGTGGAGATGTGTCTCGGAAGTGGACGGAGAACCCGTTGGGGTGGTCGACGAGGTCCTGTACCTTGGCAACCGTATCGCAGGAAAGCAGCCCCATGATTTTGCGAAGGATGTGGTCACCAAAGTCGGGCTTAAACCACTGACATGCCACCGGCAGTGTCACATTTCGGCCTGTTACTTGAACATGCTGGCCTAGGAATTGCCTCACGACTTCGCTCAGTTGGTAGTGGACGCTGTCGACCGTGTACGCCACCAAGCACTTGGTCGTGCGGTGCACATGCAGGGCACAACTTAGTCGGAAGTCGCGCGTCGGGAGGGCCAACACAGCATATGACGACGGGTACGCCGCCGCATCGGGCACAAAGTCCAAGTACGGCACGTCCTTGAGCGCAGGTGCCGCCGCTCTCATGAGGACGTGTTCGATTTCGGCGAGGGATAGCTTGATCTGGTTCGAATTCCCCACTTCGTACGCGCATTGGTGCATACTCGCGTTGGTGGTGCTAAAGGGCAGGACCAGTGACGTGTGCACGAGCAGTGCTTGGTACAAATTCAGCAGAAACACAAGCTTCGTGTCGGAATGACTGGTAAATGTGGCCAAGTCCACCTGTCGCAGGGCATGCACGGCGCGCTGGAAGGCCGCGCGGTGGTGTCGGGAGGTTGCGGCGACGACGGCAGCATGGAGGCACTGCGCAGAGGCCGCAACTGCATCCGTTGGCACGTCAGAACTTGGCATGGCCTCGTCCTCGTTCCTTCCACCGTCGTCTAGCGCGGCGATTTTGCGGTGGTTCAGCACGAGGAGGCCGTCAAATGTGACAATGTTGAACGGGCTCCACGTCGACAGGTTCTTGTGGTTACTTCTCGTCAAGCCAAGCAGCTTCGAGTTGCGGTCGGTAACGGCCAACAGCGCCATCTTCCACGCCATCGGGTCGGCCACATGCAAGTACAGGACCTCCGTCCACGTGTACACAGCGACAACGTGCAAATCGTGCACGAACCTCGTCACAACGTCTGTGATATCGTGCACGGACACTTTGACCGCAGGCTGGGACGCATACGTGCGATACAACAACAAGGATGCTGACGTGAGTACAAAGTACTCTTGGCGCAGGCAGATGTCGCTCACGATGCGGTACCCACTGCCTTCCATGCACACGTTCAGGTCCCACCGCCACATGTTCACACCCAGCGCTTTCGGAGGCAGGCCGTGGGGGAGTAGTAATGCAGATGGAGAGGCCGCCGGTCTCAGCGTATCTACCAGTCGATCGTAGGCGGTGGAAGCATGGGGCGTTGTCGACACGATATGCAGCAGCCGGTTGATTTCCACGAGTTGGTCGTCGATGGCGGCGTAGTGGTCGAGTCGCGCGCGCGTTAAGAGTCCCGGATGGGAGGCGAGGACGGACGCGACGGCGGCCGACGACACGTAGACGGTCTTGGGCGTGCCATCTTCTTGCAGGATACGGAAGAGGTACGAGATGGGTCGCCGCTCGGAAGTTACGTCGAATGTTTCTACCCACATCCATGCTTCGAATTCGATGGCATCGTGGCATGCCAGCTTGTCCTCGGGTATCGTCGCCGACGACATTGGACGAGGCGACGCCAACGTGGACGAAATGTCAAACGAGAAGCAATAGTGCTTGGTCACATGCGCCATCGCGTCCGTCGCAACTGGGTCGGGGACATGTTCATACACACCCAATCGCAACGACATGTCTCCCATGAGTGACGTGAGCCGGACGTTTGGCACGCCAGGCAGGTTCACGAGGCTCCACGACGCCAGATCTACATGCATAGTGTGGAATTGGAACGAGTACACCATGTCCGTGCGGAAACACTCGCTTCCGACGGGGGTGCGCTTGCGCTCTGCTCGGGCGGCAGGATCTTCGCGCCATGCGGACGTGCCGAGCTTTGGTGGGACGTCGTCCAGCGGAGTCGCGATGACCGTGTCGGCACTTTGGTACAGCGGCAGCGACAAGTGCGGCAATTCCGTCTCATCCCCAAAGGAGAAGTGCAGACTGCCGCCTAGCAGTGACTTGATGGTCGTCACGATCATGCTCACGAACGCTTTGCTCCAAAACGTTAGCGTCATCGGTCGAGGGAGTTCACCACACACGTACACCGTGCCTTCGGGCGCGCGCTTGAACGTTCCTTGCACCATGACCCACATCGTTCGTTGCTTGCCTTCGAAATGAGGATCCCAATGTGCATCTCCATCCGGCCTTCGTAGCAACACGTAGGCGAATCCAGTGAAGAGCGACGTGTCGATGGGGATGGGCAGCCTTGAATTGAAGTCGATGGTTGCTGTCGGGTTTGCCACGTCCCGAAGGGTCAATCCATGTCCGAATCCATGATCGGAATGTGCTGCAGTCGCCGATGGGTGCGACGACGACGACGCGGCGTCGGCGGCGGCGTTCTGTCGGACTTGCTTTCCACCGTCGTGGTGGCGAATGTGGTGGATCACAAACGCAGCGACAACCACAATGGACGTGATGGACGGAACCATGAGCCATAGCATCATTGTGTCCCCTAGTGACGCTACATCATGCAGATTCAGCCGCGTCATACCTCTCCGCAGCACGGATCAAATCGTGTTGTGGTTGAAGAGGTTCACACGACAGAAACAGCTTTCACAAAATGGACCAATCACAGCGCGGCAAGATGAATCCTAAATGCAGTCGTGTCTTTTTTCTCAAATCAATGGTTTCACTTGCCTTTTGTATTGAGAGTTAAAAAACAACATATGTCGGAGATTGGACAAGATCCTTGGAATTGAGGACCGTTATTACTTCTTCGAACTTCGGTTGACGGCTTACCACCAATAGAGAGTGCACTTGAGAGTGCATTTTGTAAAATGCAAGTTACATTTGAGTGTTCCAGTGAGATTCTCATGTGAGAGGACGCATATGTCCTCGTGTGTCCTTCGACGACTGCAAGTGAGTGTGATGATACTTCTCACATTTGAATCCGGATACAATTACATATATATGATGAATTGGGCCGGATAATTAGGGCTTGTGAGAGTGAAAAGGAGAGTGATCTTTCATATGTGTTCTACAGTACTTTAAAATGGTACTCAATGATACTATAGTGCATACTGTGGCGCAAGAAAAGAATCATGCACAGCAAGTCCTTTCCCCCTGACGCTTACAACTGAAGCAAATAAGTACTGAACCTAATGTTGACACTGTGCGTTCATAGGATTGTCATGATGGCGATCTACTGTACTTACTATACGTATAGTATGGGGAATCATAATTCACCATCATCTTCAGAATGTCACGAAGATATCGCAAAACACACTTCAACACATATGCACTCACAACATATTTGTATCACTGAAATCAGTATATTTGTTCGTTGTACAGCAGTCAACCCCTGCTAGCATGTCAAGTTGTCTGTCCAACACAATACACCATAACTTTTCACAAAACACAAGGAGCAGCGCTGCGTTCAATAACAGCACTGCACTTGCCATTAGCTCACTGGTCGTTATACCCACGGTGTATGCGGCTGCGAATATGCCTCTGTAGTTCTGCAGCTGGCGACACGGTGGTGCCTGGCCCCAACTCCTCGACTGCCATGCTGCTTGGCTTTTCGAATGGTAGCTGAGGCAGGCTCATGGCTGACCGTCTCAGGCCCACGTGTGCTAGTTGGCGACCGTGGGAATCTACTTGTAGATGTCCGAAGATTCCATCTCATACAGGTGGTGCCTAGTCCCAACTCCTCGACTACCGTGCCGCTTGGCCTTTCCAATGGTAGCTGACGCAAGCTCGTGGCTGACCATCTCAGGTCCACGTGTGCTACTTGTTGACCGTGGGAGTCTACTTGTAACGTTAAGATGTCCGAGGATTCAATCTCGTACTGTACTGTTGGTACTCCTCACACTTACGGATGGTGCTGCGTCATCTTGACGAATCCCTTGTCTTTGTCCCACTTGGCCCCACTCCATCGCTCTATGTCCTCGACAGTGTTGTCGGAATGGACAATCAAACTCCGAGTGTGCCCAGTGGACTTCGGTACGTGGGGCTGCTGCGTCGACTGTGAATTAGAGTTGCTCCACCAAGGGGTGGCCTTCGAGGGCGACGAGGACTCGTCTGGGAGCCGGGCCTTTGGCGGTGAGTTGCTCAAGCCCAGCCTTGGCTTTGGGTCCGCTCGCACCTGCGGTTTCTAACTCGCATTATAGCATAAACGACCATCATCACAGCAAGTCTTACTGTAATGTTTTGCTTTTCCAGCACCCATGCATTGGACATTTGGGGCTGACTGGAGCGATCCACAGTCTGCCATTCATAAACGTTGTCAAAGATATCCTGCACCAAGACTAAGAGCCTGTTCCAAGTACTTTTCAAAATGGGCATTATCCAATCAAAACGCTCCCCAACTCATTACAAAATCCATTTTTCAAAATGGGGTACATGATCCCATTTCATCCCATTTTGGGCACCTCAGCTATTTCGCCAATGACTGGCTAATAATGGATGCCCACTATCCAATAATGGATGCCCACTATCCAATCATTGATCCCAATCCCATTCCAACTTTTCAATTTGACATGATGGACTCGACCACTGCAGCGTGAGTTGCTGTCGTTGGCGCCGCCTTTTCGATCGACGAACGTAGCAACCGCGCCCCTGGCATCAACACTGTTGTCGTACCCAGTACCACGTGGCAGCAAGTCAAGACCGACGGCACATACGACGGATGGTTCACGCGCCACCTGCGCTGCACCCGCCACACCTTTCTGTGCATCGCCGACAACACTGTGTTATTGACCAATCAGCATGCATCTTAGTCTAATGATTTATGTCCAATCAATCATGGTCATAGAATGGGTAGAAAATGGGATGAAATATTTTGTCACCCCATTTTTCGTTTTTATCCAATTCTACTTGGAACAGGCTCTAACATACATTTTGGACGTCTCGCAGCGATCCGTGCTTCTCCAGCTTGCCACCTACGTAGGTCGTGGCAAGTGGAATGTCCTGAGACGATGTTGTTTTGGCCAAGGCCACCTCGTCCATTCCAGATGTCAGATCGTTCTTTCGTGCCACCTGGATGGGACGATGGGTGTTGATTGCCTTGGTCGCAAGTGATTCATTTGGTGGTGGATTCTGGCGCTTGTGCTCGCTACTGGGTCGACGGCTGCTGCTATTCTTGCTGCTGTGGAGGGAGCTGATGGTGTATGTGACGTTTGGCGATGCAGGAGTCGTCGTCGCAACACCCTTCCTCACCATGATGCAATAACCTGCTGGCTGCTGGGTACACTGGTAGGGTAACGCTTCAAATTATTGTACCGTTTCAGTTCAAAATACAGTACAGTACCGGTAGGCGTAAAGTACTCTCTGTCGCTCAACCTCTTGTACTGTTCCTTCGAATCGGATGGAGCCCCACGTCCAACGTGAAGTTCAAGGAGTTGGCTACGGAAGTACATAATTACTACGTAGTATAACGTTAAGCGACAACGTTAACAGTTCACTGTCAATCTCGTTCGACCTCTCCTCGAAATCTTGACGTTTACCGGAATGCATGGTTCCTGAATTTGATTGCGAACCACGAAGGAGACCGGAAGAATCACAATAAATGAGGATTTTTTTTATCCAATCAAAGAGCGACATATCTGACACTGTCGATCCCGTCCCAAATCGATTGTCCCTAGATATCTGTACACTATTAATAGACTTTGTGCTAAAGAAGTACTAGTAATAGCTTTGGCACTAGGTATACAGTACGTGTAGGTCGAGTACGAGTGCGCGACCACACCCACAACGCTAACGTTATCACGACTACCGCAACTCTAGACCACGAGCCGTTGGTATCGATCGTCAACCAGCGTACAAGGGAATATAAGCGTAGTAGGGAATATGAGGAAAGGTCAAAGCTTGTGGTACCCTACCTACCGGTATGGGGTTTAGAGATGGAGTCTCCGCCATAGTGTGAGCTGATTACCCTCCCCAGGGCAATATGGGAACTACGTACCTCGAAGTATTCAATTATCCGCTAATATCCGGAAGCATCCGGAAAATTCGATTTTTTTCAAAATCAATGATTGGATTAAAAGGGTGAGTCTATGGTGCACGTCACCTAGGAGTATAAACTACCAACTTTTCACAAAAAAGAAATTCTGCTATTTCGTTTTCATTTAAGGGCTCCTCTGGATGCGAATACAGACTGTAGAATTGAGAGGTCTTATCGTGCTGAAGAAATTCTACATCTCAGATTGAAATTTGGTGAAGAATTGGTCAAGAAATAGACATTTAACCAAGCGGTATTTTGTATGGGCGAATTGAATTTGACCACACGGATGCACTGAGATGCATCTTGACCTTTGTATGAGACTAGTATCCGTACATATTATCCGGAGATATACGGACCTATAACCTACTGTACCTCTAAAGCATCATAACTGGCGGCTAAAATTTGAAGCCCATACGTATCGTTTTGAACAGCGGAATCGAATACAAAGCCGCCTTGCACCAAAACTCGTCTCCTTCACAGACATGCTGTCGTCTTTGCTAATGTCGCCGAGGATGGCAACGTTCGTTATTTCCCGGTTCTAATTAATTTCACTTACAAACGCCTAGTGATTAAATTTGAGAAATCATTTGTTCAAACAAATATGGAAAGCGTATTGTGCTTTCGAGTGAAATTTCGTGTGGTGGCGTGGTTTCTCGTTGGAATTTAAATCGATTTGATTGGCTACCTCAGATGAGCTCAAAATTATTAGCCAATCAAAACCTTCTCAGTGAAATTCAACCAATCAGGATCGGTTTGGTCGGCGCGATTCGATTGCACCTCCCCAAATTTGTATCAAATCGACAATACGCAGATTGTTTTTTGAGAATCCCAAATAAAAGTACTTGCCACGCTGCAGCCAAACTGCATCCAAAAGTCATAAAGTAAAGACGGGTGGGAGCCCTAATTGCACAAAATTTCATTGGGCCAATCACATCGCTAGAAAAAATAGGTATTTTCATGCATCGCGTTTGAGCGTCAAGCAAGGACGCCATCGTTGCTTAGCTTGCCTGGCGCTCTCGCTTCGGCTCTCCATGACTACCAGGCCACCACTACGCTGGAACCTGCGTACTCGATCCACAGTAGTACGGGACGACCCGTAACCTGGCTACTGTACACTACTCGTGCTCCTACCACGACCACCACCGCCGCTCCTGCGACCATGGCATATGCACTCCAAATAACGCATCCAAATCCACGTCCACCAACCTGCCTACACAACTCCAGTGACCTAAACATCTACTCTCGTGACATAGCACGGCAACTGCTTCCCCTGCAATCTTCACACTACAGCTCTTCTGTCGAGATCAGGAGTAGACATACGGTAGCAATAATGAACCCCAGTCACTGCCTCTGGAGCCCCAGCAGTCACTACCCCGGCAAGATCACTACCGTCACTTTGACGACCAAACCCCCTGTTGCCCCAGTGACTACGATTGCTGCAAATTTGCACCACATCACTCCATTCTACATGAATTACATCATCAACCACCAAGACTAGCCATGGCACATCGACTCCGTGTTCTCCACTAAATTGACCACCAACGGCCACCAAGTCTTCACAATACGTGCCCCCCCCCAACCTCCAGTGGTGGCTACAGATTATCATTCAATTGCACGGGTTTGGTTAAGACAAATGCACACTTGACAGAAGTCATCCCGGAATTACACTGTTCTTGCAGCTGTACAATCAGCTTCATATATTGTAGTAACGTTAGGGTGCGTTGTTCAAAACGCTCCAGTAAGGATCATTTCATTTACACAGAATAGGCGACACTGTACTAGTATTAGTGCATGGGCACGGCCTTCTTGTCCGACGGGGATTCCACGCCTTCGTAGTTTTCGATCGACTTGTCCTCCATGTAGATCTTGACAGCGATGTAGGCACAAGTGATCCCGACGGTGGCCAGCACCCAATTGACCACGACGGTGGCAATGGGGGAGATGGGAATACCCCCCAGGCGCCACGACACGGCAGCCATGCCCGACTGCACGCACTTGTAGTAGCCAGCATACCGGCCCAGCGTGCCCAAGTCGTCCGAGAACTGGCCCATGAGCCAGTACGCCCACACTTGCAGAATTGAGT